GGCCTTGTTCGTTCATCAGGCGTCAACAACATTGTTCGAACAGGCGTGAACAATATTGTTGACAACATTGCTGCAAGTGGGCCGCACAATATTGCAGCATCCTGTTCAGAACCAAGTTGCAGCAACTTGTTGACAACTTGCATCAACCTGATGATTTTTACGCGTGTATACAGAGGCGGAACTCGCGGCGATTCCTTTGTTCTTTGTGTCCCCGTGCAACGTCATTTCCACGCGCCACGCAAATTGCTCTGGCAAGTGTCATTCGTCGTGTTTTCAGTCAAAAGCATAGGAAAAACACCGTTCGAAAGTAGAAAAATAAATATTTTTGCGAAGTTGCTCAACCGATCTTCATTTTGGAACTCAAATTTGAAAGATAAATGGTAAGTGGTTATTTTTATGTAAAAATATATACGTTTATAGGCTAAATACAAAGAAAAAATAGTATAATACAAATTACAATCTCGGTGCTTGTGATGTTCTTGCCAAGAAGCAGATTCCCATTTCGCTAAATTAATGCGGGCCAAACGTATTGCTTTCCTGTCTTTTACATTAATAAGAAAGCATAGGTGCTGATTTGAAACACGTCCATCAGGTTCCATGCATGTAGCTTTGCGATTTGTGAGCAAAAATTAAAAGTTAAACTACCTATGTTTTTAATACTTTCTGTGCAACTAATAACCACATTCACAAATATATTCTCCAGCAAAGAAACGTTTCTTTACGGATTGTTAATCCGCATTTGAAGGCATGCTTATGCCTTCAAAGGTCAGAGGTCTTTAACATGCAGAATAGCAGAGACTACTGTCATTGACATCCTTTGTCACAAAATTATGATGGCATATTGGACAGCTACTGTATGTTGGATAAGGCACTTCCTTAATAAATAGCCTGACACATAAGTTCATGCAGACTAAGTTTTGTTCAATTTCATTTGTTTTGTAGTCGGTATCTTCAACTGCTTGGATTAGTGGTGGGCTTGTCTGATCATTTCCTGCAGATAAATCAGATTGGCTAGGGTGAAATGCAATCAAATAGGCATCAGAA